TACACTTTCAGTACAGACGATTATTTTTAGAGACTGAAAAGCTTGCATGGTGTCTGAAAATAATATGGATGTAATTATTAATGTTCCTCTTCCAATTTCTTATTAATGTTGTTTCTAGATGTTGTCACATTTCTGCTTTCCTGGCTTCAGGCAATTGCCCATGTCTTCTGTGACTGCTTTTAATCTGTTTTGTATTTCAAAAGCTGCATACATTGCTGCCGTTAAATGTTTTAGTTTGCAATATGGAGAAGGTGTTTAATAATATCTATGATGGAAATGGCTGTATACGTAAGGATTAACCGGCAGATGGAAGGAAATGGTTGGCATGTTAATGGCACGATGCTCTCTAAAAACACACAGGAGAACTTTACTAGGTTTAACCCTATCAAAAATGCTAACTTTATATATGGGGCCAGTGGAATGAGCATTAGTGCAATTGAAATCAACTCAGTGTTTGTTATCACAAATCCCTCCTTGGCTATGTGAACAAAATCTACTCTTCCATGTTTAGATGAAATATAATGTCAGTGTTTACCTAGGGATGAACTCTCAGCTTATCCCTAGGAAATAAGTTGCATGACTGAGCCTTGGAATATGTAAAGTCTTAATATTGCCTTTCTATAGTCAATGTATCATTCAATTAATTAAACACCTAAAATGCTAAGGCATTGTAGAATTCCACCTCCCAAAACAACATAGGTCTTGCCCTATGGACTTGCAGAACTATCAGTTCCATAGCACTTGTCAGTGTTTGTAAGAGCTACTGCAATACAGCAGCTTTCTGCTACATTCTCTGTGTTCTGGCAATGTTCTGCCATAGGCTGATGTTCAGATTTAGTGCCAAATTCAGATAAATTGAATTGTACACTATTTATCAACATAAATCAAAGTCAGTTTGCAATGTAGCTATTCCATGTTACCTGGGCATTAGAGCACTGGATTGCTTTACAAAACAAAACAAAAAACCAACATAAATGGTGTGTGTAACACAGAAACCTGTTGCTTGGTACTGTTTTGCTTTTATTTTCCCCTGTTTTCTCAGATTCTGCCAAAGCTTGGCTATAGGCCTTTGGGGAGCTGACTTTCTCATCCAAAGTAGCTTTGCACCTTCCAGCAACAACTTGTAAGTGCTGTCAAGTGCATTGTTTTCAAATCACATGGTGAAAAATAGGGAAGGGGGCATTTTTAACTTGACCATCTGAGATTTTATTTTTTGTTAAGGTGAAAAATATCGTCTGTATTAAATGTGTTTGCTTCCACTGCTGGCAGTCCATTTTCATGAGGAAAATGTTTCTTTCTAGTGCTGCTCTAAAAAAAGAAAGAAAAAAAGCAGGTTGACAACAAGTTTGAAAGAAATACAAATGATGATCAGATCCCAATCCAGTTTCTCACTACAAATGTCAAAGCTGAGCAATATTTTGCTGGTAGTTTCATTATGTCTACTTGTTTGTAGTTACCCAGCTGATACCTTGAACAGCTGATACCTTGAGGAGCAGGATAGATTAGAAATGCTGTTATTCTGGGACAACCTTTTGTATTCTCCATTTTAAGTGGATTTCAGAAGGGCTTCGAAAATGAACTTTGAAAAATATATTTATTGCATGTTTTGTATCAGAACCTCTTGTTATATATGCCTAACAACTTCTGGTTCATTTCATTCCTGCACAGATTTTCAGATCTTCAGAGGAGGCTCTTTTTTCAGTCCCATCACCCTCAAAGGCACCGTTGGTGAGGACCAAACAGGTCATTAACAGAATCTAACTTTCAATACAATGGCTAATTTATTTATTTTTAAAGTCAGATATTTGGATTGGCTAACAATTATTATTATTATTATTATTATTATTATTATTATTATTATTTATACTTTTCAGATATATACATTTCACTGATTTTACATTCATTTTGACCCCATGGACCAGAGCACTCCAGGCACTCCAGTCTCCCACTGCCTCCCGCAGTTTGGTCAGACTCATGTTTGTAGCTTTGAGAACACTGTCCAACCATCTCGTCCTCTGTCGTCCCCTTCTCCTTGTGTCCTCAATCTTTCCCAACACCAGGGTCTTTTCCAGAGAGTTTTCTCTTCTCATGAGGTGGCCAAAGTATTGGAGCCTAAGCTTCAGGATTTGTCCTTCCAGTGAGCACTCAGGACTGATTTCCTTCAGAATGGATAGGTTTGATCTTCTTGTCCATGGAGTTTTCTTGGCAGGGATACTGGATCCAGGTGGCTCACGTTTAGTCAAAACTCTCCACTATGACCTGAACGTCTTGGATGGCCCCGCACTGCATAGCTCATAGCTTCTCTGAGTTATTCAAGACCCTTCGCCACGACAAGGCAGTGATCCATGAAGAAGATAGACCCCTTTTAAATACCTCCTTTAAAAATCTCTCTCATCATCCAGAACCACAAGTTGGGGAAAACACCACTGTGTTTTCTAATCTGCTCGAAGGTAACACTTCCCTCCTTTAAAACACGTCTTGTATTATATTTATTTCCCAAAACATGTGCTCAGGCATTCAATCAGGAAGCTGTTAGAACGTAACACATTTATTTAAAAAATCTGGCGTCCTTTATACCGTGAAACAGTACTGAAAATACTCATGTATTGTGGTTTCATTTCTATAATAGATAAGAGGTTAAGATTTATCTTATTTAACTTGAAACTGGGAACAATAACCATTTCAGTGTATATTTCTTGAGCAAGTGTATGCTTCTTGGTAAGACTTCAAAGAATGCTGTCTCAAATGTAGTTACAAAGAAAAAAACATATGTTGTTATTGTTATAGCAAGCAGGACCTTTTTTTAGCTAGAACTCAGTTCTGGCACCTCTCAGGTGGATACTATTGCCATTTTATGAGATGAGGGAGGTGTTCATGGTGGGTTCTGGCACTTTCCCCCCCTAGAAAAATAGCAGTGATAGCAAGAGACAGATAATTTTCTAAGCTCTAAGATCAGGATATCTTTATAGTGATAAAACTTACCCAGCCTCCATGTTGTGCTATCCAATCCAATTTATTGGTTATGATGTATTCCGTGATAAAGCGAGTAAATGTATGGTATTAAAACCTCTTGGGATGTCTGCTGTAGAAGGGCATTCATTGTATGTAGTGGTTGGGATTTAGCTGTGCTAGCTCTTTACTGGCTTGAAACATCTAAGCACCATGTGACTTACGGTGGCATTGTGGTCTAAACCACTGAGCCTTTTGGGCTTGGTGATCAGAAGGTCGGTGGTTCTAATCTGCACTATGCGGTGACTTCCCATTGCTCTGTCCCAGTTCCTGCCAACCTAGCAACTTGAAAGCATACCAGTGCAAGTAGAGAAATAGGTACTGCTGTGGAAGGAAGGTAAATGGTATTTCCATTCACTCCAGCTTCCGTCACAGTGTTCCACTGCACCAGAAGTGGTTTAGTCACGCTAAACCACATGACCCGTAAAGCTATCTGTGGACAAACACCAGCTCCCTAGGCCTGAAAATCGAGATGAGCGCCACACCCCATAGTTGCCTTTGACTGGACTTAACCATCCAGGGGTCCTTTACCTTTGCCTTTACTGGCTTGAAACATGTAAGCACCATGTGATTTAAGTCTAACCTTCCAAGGCATCTGGTTAGAGTGCAGGGCAACAGTTGGCAGTTCCCAGCATTTGTCGTGAATACTGCTGTTCATGTTTTCCAATAGTTCTGGCGTGCTTGGATAATAGCCACATAGCAGTTAAGAAGACCGTAGTTTTTCTAGATTAGCAATTTTGAATCATGCATCAGCTGTTATATTGTTCCAACCATGTGGGTGTTGTATCTCAGCTAGCCCCACTTGCGGTAGAGGCAAGCAGATAATAAAGGTCGAGCTAATGTTCTGTGGGGAAACAGCTGTACACACCAATGTGTGTTGTTGTTGTTGTTTAGTCGTTTAGTCGTGTCCGACTCTTCGTGACCCCATGGACCAGAGCACGCCAGGCACTCCTGTCTTTCACTGCCTCCCGCAGTTTGGTCAAACTCATGCTGGTAGCTTCGAGAACACTGTCCAACCATCTCGTCCTCTGTCGTCTCCTTCTCCTTGTGCCTTCCATCTTTCCCAACATCAGGGTCTTTTCTAGGGAGTCTTCTCTTCTCATGAGGTGGCCAAAGTATTGGAGTCTCAGCTTCAGGATCTGTCCTTCCAGTGAGCATTCAGGGCTGATTTCCTTAAGAATGGATAGGTTTGATCTTCTTGCAGTCCATGGGACTCTTAAGAGTCTCCTCCAGCATTGCTAGGTAGGATCATGTAAAAGCCACTAGCATCCATTCTTCTACACAGGTGCACAAAGCTCAGGTGCAGCTATCCAGCTGTTGAGTTTACTGGGTCACTAGATTGTCCTTTCTCCTATTCCAGGATTTTGTAGCTAGATTTTTTTCCAATCCAGTACCCTTTGTCCGATTGGGCATTAACCTTCTGTAATTATTCAGGAGAAAAGGTTCCAGGGTGTGACATCGTGTGACATCACCTGTCAAAATCTAGGAGACCCATCACCCTGTAGCAGGATGGGGCTTCAGCATTTGACATATGGTAGCACACTGACACTATTCCCAAGTTTGGAAAAGCCGCTTCATGGATGTTTTTGGATTTTTAGATAGGGGTCGAAATGATGCATGTTAAAAACTTCTTATTGTGTGATCTCTTTCTTTTACTTGTTGATGCCTAAGCAGAACGTAGTGTTGATGTGGGAGTGCTATTGAGGAGAAAAGATGTTTTCTTGAGCACTAAGAACTGTAATTACTAGGTAATTATAGAGTCATCTAGAGGACAGGCAAGCGTCTGTGTTACACAGTAATTGTTTGGCTAAGCAGGCCCAAACAGGTAATTAACAGAATCTAACTTTCAATACAAAGGCTAATTTATTAAAAAACATGTCAGATGTTTGGATTGGCTAACAATTGATCCAGTACTGAAAGTGTTTGTTTTAGAATAGATGCCACACTTTTAAAGAAATAGCTTTAAAAAGAAAACTCAGCTTAAAAAAACCCAGCCAGCTTAGGCCAGCGGTTTCATCGACCAACACATTGCTTGGATTCCCCAATCGCTTTCAGCAGTTTGAGACCCGCGGGCACTGCCTGGCTTTAAAAAAACAAAAACAAATTCAGAATAGTCCCTTTTTTTTAGACTACAGAACACATCTGCCAAAGCATTTCTGGAGAGGAACTGAGTGCTTCCGACCTTTACATATTTTGATAACTCAGTTATCCAAATCACAACAAATGACATGGGAATCAAAATGTATTTGATGTAGCTTTCCTATAGTCGTGGTTAAAGTAGCTGCGTGTTGCATAACCTTCATATTATCATTTGCCAACGAGGCAATCGGTTGTATATTTTGTCTTTGTGATTGGATCAATATTCTTGCTCCTTGCCTTCCAAGCAGAAGCTCTTCTCTTCATAACTGCACCCATGCTGCAACTTTTAGTACAACAGAAGGGATGATGCAGGAATCCAAATTGCTACCTGTAGTACTGGGAAAGAGATGTGGGACTGAGATGTGTTCATGGGCTGGAGTGGGGAAATAAAATACGTATAGGATAGGCGAGACCACATACCAACTGTAAATCTGGAACGCTGGATACAGCAAGAGTTGAAATACAAGTTTCCTGAGGAGATAGTCCTGGTGATGAGCCGTTAAGGGAAACAAAAGGAAAGGGTCTCCGTGTGAGACAGCACAAAGCTCACAGTTAGAAGGACAAAGCCAGAGTTGAGCATTGAGTTGCAATGATGTGACCTTAAGCAGCAAGCTGTGGAGAGCCCCAGAGCAATTTTTCAGAGTAAGGTTTGATTTCTGTTTGAAGCCAAGGCTAAGGGAGAAACAAGACCCTTTTGGAGTGTTCCTGCTGTGAACCCCTCCATTGTAGGCGAAGGTTGCATATATGTGTAAATAAACCATCTATAATAAAGACACCAACGTGCCTCATTTCCAAAAGGAAACATGAACCCTGGGTAAGCTCCAGGGAAACCATGGAATCTCACACCACTTGGAAATTTGGGTGGCATGCAACAATATGTCCCCAACTGCAGTGATGGGAAGGTCTGTATAGCAAAGAACTGACCAAGTAAAGAAATAATTTTGCAGTGTGTTGAATCCTCATATTGCTCCCTAGAACTTCCACTTGACTTCAATTGGCGTTCCAGCTACATAACATGTGAAAATAAATTTGGCAGGGTTTTTCTTTTTTAAAAAAAAAAAGTTTGGAAGACTGCACTAATCCCTATTCAAGTAATTGGGGACCTGTTTTCAAGCATGTCAGTTATAGCTGACCTCATAAGAAGCCATTTGTTGCAAAAGCTTGCAGAAATTTCCACAGAAGTCCTAGAGTGACATGCTTTATAAAGCAGCTAGTTTTGATCGCTTGTTCCTAGTGCATGAGGCTTCAACAGCACCTCTGACTCATGAGCGAGTTTCATAACCCCTTACATTGTAGAGTTCCAGGAAAGTGCACTATATACATCTAATTAACCTTTTTTTCGAGTTTCATAATGTACAAAGAAAGGAAGAAAAGAAAATCCCGAAGCCATTGGAACTCTGTATGTCAGCAAAACTGATAACGCGTAAATAAAGAGTTCCATGCACTGCAAATTTAGGTCACATATTTCATACTCTATACAGTGTTAGATCTGAGCAAATAATTCAAACCCTTCTCCACTATTTGGAGGGAAAGCACTTCAATCCCATATTCCTGTTTTCTCCAAGCTGGTGCTTTTCAAATGTACAGCTCCTTTCATCCTTGCCTATTGGCCATGCTGATTGAGGCTGATGGGAGTTGTAGTCCAAAATATCCAAAGGGTTGGGGAAAGCTGAATTGTTCATTATGAAATGTAGAAATTCAATGGTAGAGCATCTGCTCTGCATGCAGAATGTCCTAATTTGAATCTCCAGTATTTCCAGAAAGAACTGGGAGAGACCCTTGCCTGAAACCCTGCAAAGCCACTGCTAGTCAGTGTTTAGACAATACTGAACTTGATGGACTAACAGTCTGACTTGGCATAATCCACCTTTGACTGTTCCGATGAGTGACAGTAAAGGAACTCCTTGGAGGTGCCCCAAACATCTGTGATGTGGAGTCAAATTTGCACAATTGCTATCCCATCTACGAACAAAATCTGGAAATTGGCACTTCAAGCTGTAGGGTAAGTTTAAGGAGATGAAGATTTGACGGTTGCATGTGAAGACCCCCAAAACCACCCCCAAATGAAGACACAATAGACACAGATTTTGTTTAAGGTTTTTGGCATATATTTGGCCACAACTTTATTGATTACAGCATGTGAGTGGTTGCTTAGGCATTGGTTCAAGACTACCTGGCCCTGCAAGGTGGCAGGAACAGGACTGACACAGGGCTTCACCATATGTCAGTAAGAGAAAGCATCTTGAGGGAGCGAGAAGCTGGCTTCAATCTCACAGCTCACCCCAGATGCTCCAGGGGCTCTGGCATGGCCCTAGCCCCTTGACAGGGTTCGGACAAAAGCAAGGTGAGCCTCTGGATTCCTTTAACGGAATTCCCTAGCAGCAGCAATGGAGGGGCAGGCACAGCGAATCACGTTTACTCCCTAAAACATTGAACCAAATGCCTAACCGCCAACCTTACAAAGTTGTGACGATTTGCTACACGGTAGGCAAAAACTAAGTTGCACCAGCCAATCAGCCAAATGGCAAAATTCCTACCAGGCCCCTGCTCCAAAACAGACGACCCCAAGACAGGCATAGCAAGGTCATAAGAACCACCCTAAATATAGGGAGAGGAAGGGCGTGTGATCCGCTGCACATCACAAGAACGTGAAAATCTCCAGTGACATGCAGCAGCTTAAGTAGCCCCTCAGCAGCCAATAGCCAACCCAACTGACCCCAGCAACAGAGGGGCAACCAATGAGGTGTTGTGGCCATCCAAACAGTCCTGCCCCACAACAGGGAGGCAGTTTCTGGTGATCTCATCGCAACACATGCCCTCCATGGTGGAGGCCCCGATTTATGCAGCTGTTGAGTTCTACAGATTGAATTGTGTTTTGTGTCATTCCTCGTTCTATTGTTTTTATTCTTGGAAGCCAAACATGAAATCCCCAGTGTTGATTCATCTGCAGAGGAAAGCCTTCATTTCTGCCACAGAATGCAGAGGGCCTTCTCAGTAATGGTGCCCGCCCTGTGGAATGCCCTCCCACCAGATGTCAAGGAAATAAACAACTATCTGATTTTTAGAAGACATCTAAAGGCAGCCCTGTTTAGGGAAATTTTTAATGTTGGATGTTTTATTGTGTTTTAAATATTCTGTTGGGAGCTGCCCAGAGTGGCTGGGGAAATCCAGATAGGTGGGGTATAGATAAACAAACAAACAAATAAACAACAACAATTCTATTGCAAAGGATTCTCCTGCACGGAATACTCTCTGTCTGTGTGTGGAGTTCTCAAAATTGCCCTAAAAAGCCAAGAGGGTGCCCATGATACTTCCAGTGTAAGCTTGCAGCTACACACTACTGGGAAAGATTGGTAATGACAGATAAGCCTCTCCCCCACCCTCACAAACTTGTCCACTATGAGCATCAGATTAGGGACATATGTTCAGAAACTAGTGGCTTATAAATAAGAGCGATGACTGACCTTTTCAACAAAGAACTTGCTCCACAATGCCCAAGGCTGAACAAAATAATAAAAAGCATGATGTGCAACTACATTGTAAAAATCTCACACCCACACTTTCTGCTAAGTGTCACAAATGTATGATGCCAGCAAGTGGGTAGGCAAACAACCACCACCACAGTTCATAAAATAAAATGGCAGGGCTGGTGTATTCCTAAAATAAAGAGTGAGCAGCCAATTTTAGTGACGAGAGACCAATTTCTTTGCCTATGCAATTTACATCTAATTTTCTTACATGTTTGGAATAGGGTCAGTTTTAGCAATGCATTTTGGGGAGAAAGTGGATTAGATGTGCTTAATTTTTGTTTAAAATATCTCTCGTTGGCCACGGCTTCTAGCAAGATTTATGCATGAAGTGAATCATTTGGATGCCATTCTAGGCTGGAAAGGAAGTAAACATTTGGGCAGGGTAGGCTGCGTGTTAACTTCCCATGCCTGCAAAAAAGTAAAGGTAAAAGACCCCTGGATGGTTACATCCAGTCAAAGGTGACTATGGGGTTACGGTGCTCATCTTGCTTTCAGGCCAAGGGAGCCAGCATTTGTCCACAGAAAGCTTTCTGGGTCATGTGGCCAGCATGACTAAATCACTTCTGGCACAATGAGACACCACGATGGAAACCAGAGCAGCGCACGGAAACACTGTTTACCTTTCCACCTATTTCTCTACTTGCACTGGCGTGCTTTTGAACTACTAGGTTGGCAGAAGCTGGGAGAGAGCAACGGGAGCTCACTCCATCACAGGGCTTCAAACAAAGGAAACCAAATTGACGGCATAAATAGAGGTTTGTCACTTCTCATCTATTTTACTGCAATTGTTCATTGGGGGTGGGGAAGACCAAAACATGCCAGCATTTTGCTGTTCAACCACTAAAGACAAGTGCAAAACAGAGTTGTTTCCTTCCTAACAACTCATGTTCAAGGTGGTGTTTTGCTCTTGTATTTTATGAATGTATTTGGGCAAAATGCTACAAATAAAAAATCTGTGTTTGTATATCTACCAATCTGACAGGCTTCCAAAGTAGGATGTGTTTCCAGTCCAACAAGTAAGCTGGAAAAATATGGGGAAATGCAAGATTAAAATGTCTGTCCTAATTGTTATGTAAAGCACGACAGCAGAAATCTTACATTTTTATGGACTTAAGGAACTTAATATAGAAAAAAATGGAGCCAACATACTACAGAAAGAAGCTGCCTTCATGATTTGCTTTATAACTCCCCATTTCACAAAATAGGTACTTCTGATTCATGTAACAGGAGCCAGAATAACTCCCAATTCAAATAATAATGATAGATAGAATCCACATATTTTACAGGAGGGAAGTCCAAGTTAGGAGAATTAATGTGTGGCCAACAAGCATCAGTAGATATCTTAATGCAAATTGTATGCAGCTGTCACATATCACTGGTAACTGGTCGGTAAATTGTGGCTATCTGGCACAATGTACGTA